TCTTAATACTGCCAAATTTTTCTCCAAAGGGGTTATTTCATATTTATACTCAGAACAGTTGGCACTCTAGTGCCTTACTGACTCTTAGCATCTTCCATCCTTTTAATGTTACTCAATCTGATGAGTGTGACACAGTGTTTTACACTGTTACAGCCAAAATTTTATTCTCTCATCCTCAGTACTTTATTTGAATGGGCTCTTATTTCCTATCACATGTTCTAATTGATTATTACTGCTATACAGAAGGCTGATTTTTTTTTTAATGTTTATTTTCTCTCTAGGAATTGTGCCCAATGAACACTTTCATTAGTTCTAATGGTCTACAAAGACCATTTATCCCAAAATTTCTACAAAGACAATTATGTATTCTGTGAATATAAATAATATTATATCTCCCTTACCTATATAAGGAACTTCTCTCTTGTTCCTAATGCACCAAGAGTTATTGTTCATCACAAGCATCACCTAAATTTTATCAAATGCTTTTTCTAAACATTTCGCATCAGTTCAGATAAGGCTCGGTTCCCGCTTCCATTTGGTATATTATAGTAAAAGATTTGCTAATACTAAACTATCCTTGCATTTGTAAGATAAAACCTCTAGGTCTTAAAAATGTATTGACCTCAAATTGTTAATATTTTTATTTAATTTTCTACTACTTTTTCTATTTAATTTCCATTTCAACTTTAATTATCTTTCTTCCTAAGTACTTTTAGATTTGCTGTTTCTTCTAGTTTCTACTGCATTTGCTAATATTAATACATTTAAGACAGTATATTTATTTAAGTAGTACTTTAGCTGGTCCCACTATTTTTACTAGCAGTACTTTCACTAACATTCACTCAACTCTGTATATTTCCTCTTTATCACATGAATTACTTAAAAGTACCTTTTTACATTTGTAAGTATAATTTAGAAGGGGAATTTATTTTTTGTATTTCAATATTACATGTACTGGAGTCAGACAATAGGATCAAGTATTCCTTGATGAAGTATTTCAAGATTTTCTTTTAATCCTCCCTGTTCTGCAGTTTTACTATACTATTAAGAGCTATGTAATTATTTTCACTTACCTTGCTCACTTCTGAGAACAAACTCTAGATCTGAGGAAATATGTCAAAGAAATTTTTCCAAAATTATCTCTTCAAAAAACAATGTCTTTTCTATTCCCTTTGACTTCCTCCTCTGGCATATTCTGGAACCCTTCACAGCTGCTGTTTCCTATTTACTTCTCTGGGCTACATTATAAATTATAATACATTATAATTATATACATTATAAATGTATATAAATGTATATAAATTATATACATTATAAATTAAATACATTATAAATGAATGCCTAATGAAGGTCAATTCCTGAATTCTACATTTGATGGCATCCATTTCCTTCAGCAAAACTAATTTACTAAATCTACCCCCTTTTTGTGTTACATACAATTTCTTCTTTCATCTCTCCAGTATCTTAAATATACTTATTTATTTCTTTTACTACTCATCCCTCTGCATCTAAAGTTTTTGTGATCACCTCTGCTCATTGCGGTCACTCCACTGCAGAACTAGATCATATAATGTGGGCTTAGAACTTCCTGCTCTAGGGTAATATTGTGAATTTTTAAAGACCCAGTCACCGTAAGTGAAGCAGACATTTCAATCCAGGTCCTGGTTTTAAGAACTGTCTGCCTTCTCCCTTTCTTTAGCCCTTGATTTCCCATTAATGAGGTTTTAGAGCAAGTTATTATCCAAATGAAGACCCTCCTGAGTATTAAAAAGGTCTCTACTATTAATAACTACATAGACAATAAGCATAAACTAGGGGTTTGAAAGGTATCCTGAGATATATGATCACCCTAAACAGAAGCTTTAGCTTATGTGGCAGTTATCAGTGGCTTTCTTCAGACTCCTTTGCAACTGTAGAGAGTCATGTTAGGCCCTGGCTTCATGTAATTAGCCTGACTCTATTCCTCTATGTTTCATGAAACATTTTTATTCCTTTTAACACACAAGAACCAAACTCTTGGCTACAAGTACCTGCTTCTCTACACTAAACCCAATACTATTTATCATTATATGTTATCTTCTACGTTAAGCACAGAAACATTTAGTTTCTAAACTCATTAATGTCTGCATTCTTTTTTTAAAATTTTATCTATCATTACTTTCTGTTTGAAATGAGGTAATAAACAGCAAGATTAGTGTGCTACTTTCAACAAAAGAATCTTATCAATTTTTTTAAACATGTATTCCCTTTATTCAGCAACTACTTTCAGTAATTTGTTACAAAAACACTCCCACATGTAGATTTCAGGAGGATATAGGAGGATTCAAAGAAGTACTATTTTTAATAGAATAAAACTATTCTAGTTTATATGGATAGTAAATTAGTTTTAGTAGTGTAGTTTGTACCTTACTTCTTTTTTAAGAATAAAGCAACCCAAATAAAAACTGTTTAAATAAATCATGGCCAAGCCATGTTAAGAAACAGTATACAAACATTAAAAATTACAAAGTAAATTCACAGAGGAAAAAAAATCCCACAATAGAATGCTGAATGAAAAATAAAAATCACAGAAGTTTGTAGATTAATTTGAACATAGCTAGGAAACAAAAATATAATATGAATAATAAAAAATTATACCAAAGTAAAAAATGTTTGAGGCAGAGGTCAAGGAAGAATAGAGACAAAAAGTTGAAAAGGTGGGTTAAAACCAAATTATGGAAAGCATTAGTGTCTGAACTACTTATCTTTACCTTTCACAAAATGTGGGTTCAAAAGAATTTAAGCAAAGATTGTTAGTATGAAGTAGCATTAGGGAAGAGTAATAAGAATAAAAAATACAGAACTCTGGACAAAAATGAAAAATTTGTTTTAGTTCCTGTTTTGTTTCAAATACTAGGCCAGATTTTATTGACATTAAATTTCAAGGATTTTGGGGGCGCATGGTTGGCTCAGTTGGTTAAGCATCCAACTTCGGCTCAGGTCATAATCTCATGGTCTGTGGGTTCCAGTACTGCACTGCACTCTGTGCTGACAGCTCAGAGCCTGGAACCTGCTTCAGATTTTGTGTCTCCTTCTCTCTGTCTGCCTCTCCCCCTGCTTGTGCTCGTTGTCTCTCAAAAATAAACCAACATTTAAATATTAAAGATGTTTTCATATTTTTAAAAAGCTTGTATTGACCTTTAATACTATATACATTAAAAGTATCTTTATATATACAAATATCTTGCAAAATAAAGTTTTACGTGAAAAAAATGAAAGCAAAGTACAGAAATGCAATGTTTAAATTTACACATAAAAATAAACTTCCTTCATTTTTCTACTTGTGTTTCCACCTAAAGGTGGAAAGCCATAAGGCAGATCTCAAAAATAAAACATCTATTATTTTTAAATCTTATTTATGTAACTTACAGTTTGTTCATTCCTTCAGATAACTGGAAGTTCAGTGTTTCTTTTACCATTAGCATCATCACACTATTCCACCTCCCTCCCTTCCCACACAAATTCCAAGACTCCTGATCATATCAATCTGGTAACATACATAAAAAGCAGTAAAGACTAAACTCCCTTAAGGCAAAAGGATATACAGGGAGAAAATAAAAAGTATACTAAATAAAAAGTTGTAAGAGTAAATCTGTTTCATAAATTACCTAATTTAAAAAGAAATTTTAATGTTTATTTTTGAGAGAGAGTGTGAGCTAGGGAGGAACAGAGAGAGAGGGAGACACAGAATCTGAAGCAGGCTCCAGGCTCTGAGCTGTGAGCACAGAGCCCAACACAGGGCTCGAACTCATGAACCGTGAGATTATGACCTGAGCCAAAGTCAGACACTAAACCGACTGAGTCACTCGGGCACCCCCATAAATTACCTAATTTTAAAGAAATTAAAAATGAAGTATCAAAAATGAGCAAATAGTGAATAAAAATATATAACTTTTATCAATCACTGGTGATCAAAGAAATGCAAATTATTCTGGATTACAATTTTCACATATGTTATCAAATAATTCCTAAATTTAAGTGTTGCTAGGCACACTTCTGGTGAAAGATACACCAGTAAAATTTTGGGGGGAGTAATATGATATTTATCACACAGTTAAGAAATACCCTTTCACCAAATTACTTTACCTCTAGTGTTTTAAAATGAAAAAAAGAGGGGCTCCTGGGTGGCTCAGTTGGGTAAGCGTCGGACTTTGGCTCAGGTCATGATGTCTCAGTTTATGAGTTCGAGTCCCACATTGGGCTTTGTGCTCACAGCTCAGAGCCTGGAGCCTGCTTCAGATTCTGTGTCTCCCTCTCTCTCTGCCCCTCCCCTGGCTTGCACTCTGTCTCTCTCTCTCTCTCTCTCTCTCTCTCTCTCTCTCTCTCAAAAATAAACCTTAAAAATATTTTTTTAAGTAAATAAATAAAATGAAAAAAGATCTGAAGACATAAATACGAACAATGAATAAATTCTGTAACAGTAAAAAAAAATGTAAGGACGTACTAAAAGAATAGTAAAATAAGGTTTATCCTTATAATGAATTAGTTAGAAGTCAATAAATAAGAGCTTTTGCAGAATATTTAATATTTGTTAATGAGAGAGGAGAGAGTAAGAAGGTTATAAAATCACATACACACATAATCATGAACTATTAATTGTGGTTATTCCTAGTTCACTACATAGGAATTCTATTTTATAGCCTTTTTTCTTTTAAATATTGTTCAATACACATATGTTACTTATATTAAGTGAAATTCTAAAAAATAGACTACAGCAATAAATCTTCTCTTAGGCAGCTATCATATGCAAGTCATTTTACTCAGTACACTGTAATCGAAAGTGCATCTTACCATTAAACAAAATGCCTTTTGACAGTGTTTACAAAACAAGTAAAACAAAGACAAACTTAAACTTCTTAATTATACCATCAGCAGGAATATATAAAACATCACTTAACAGGTTCCACATAGATTAGTGACTATATTGCTTTGTAAATAAAACAAAAATACTTAAAATTTACCTGCATTGCACTTTTCCCCAATTTCACCACTTCAAATAGTGTGACAGGCTCCCCTTCACCATTCTGTTGAGGGTGCCCATTAGCTCTTCCACGGCCTGTTCCTCTAACAGTAGCTTCAATTCTACTCTTCTCTCCTGGAGATTTTCGAGGTTTCTTGTTTGTAGACTGAATAAAAGATGAGGAAAAAATTCAATTAAATACAGGTACACTTCGCTTTTATGCAAAGTACCGGTGAAAGGTACTAAGAACTACTACACATAAGAGACTTAATTCCTGACCAAAGGAAGCTTTACAATTTGTTTTCCGTAAATTAAAGTGCAAATGGTAGTTTAAGCTATATAAGACAGGAAAATTTATAAAAAGATTTAGTGTTTTACACAACAATAATGCCAATGCTGAAGATTTTAATCACGCCCTCTTTTGACATCTCCCTCTTTATACTTTCAATTCTTTCCTATTTCTTCAGAAACTTTATTCAATAAAACATTGCTTGGAAATACTGTATATTCAACTTCTCTCTCTACAGAGGTCCTCAAATATTTCTTATCTAGTCATGTAACAAATATATAGTGAACATACTTACAACTATTCTAGGTACTAGAAATTCAACAATAAATTAAACAAATATTCCTGCCTGACAGAATTTACTCTTCAATTAACATCACATCCCATCCCATGTTCCCATCCCCCAATTTTTCAAAAAAAAGTCAACATCAGCTATACCCACCTTATCTATGTCACACCTTTCAGCCAAGGGTAATTTGAGATAACTGGCCACAGTCACTAATATCATTCCCATAAATTTCATTCATATATAAACTCATCACAGTTGCTGCTTCACCAAACTTACCAATGAAAATAGTGTTACTAAATGTAACAGACATGTCTTGAAACTCTTTCAACAAGCCACATGATTTCATCCTCTCCTTTCAGGTATCTTTTCCCTCCCTATCTGTCTTACCTGTTAGGGTTACCTTGGGTCTCTATTTAACACCTTTTTTCTCAATCTTTATAGTCATTTTTGAGGGACTTAATTCATTCTCACAATAGCCTGTTTCAGTTATCAAATTATCAATTTATCCCTCATCTCCAAATCTACCCTTATTTGTCCCACAGTGTGATCCTGGAGCTGGACCCTGTAAACATTTTTCTTATCTGCTGCAGTGTTTGGCTTTGTACTAGAGGGCATTGGAGGAACACTACAAAGTATGGCATGTAGAGACTTCCCTCCCTACTTAAAGTATGTGCTCCCTTCACTTTCTATTCTTGTATTCTTCATAGTACTCTTTTAACTTCTCTTAGTTAACAGTCTTACAGCCATTTTTGTGTGTGGATTAATACACAATAAATTTACTATTTATTTTTAAGTATATCATTTTAGAACAGTTTTAGATTTACAAAAAAAAACTGACGACAGTACAGAACATTTCCAAATACATCATATCCACTTACCCTTATTATTACCTCCTTACCACTTGTATGGTACATCTGATACAGACAGTGAACAAATACTGATAGATTAACAAAAGTCCATACTTAGTTCAGATTTTCTTAGGTTTTTGCCTTATGACCTTTTTATGTTCCAGAATTGCATCCAGGATACCGTATTACATTTATGTCATGTCTCCCTAAGCTCCTGTTGGCTTTGACAGGCTTTCCCTGGTTTTATGGTGACTTTGACAGTTTTGAGGATTACTGGTCAGGTGTTTAAACAACGCTCCTCAACTAGGTTTTGTCTGATGTTTTTCTCATCACTACATTGGGCTTAAGGGTTTTAAGAGGAAGATGTAAGAGATAAAGTGTTATTTTTATGACCTCATATCAAAGGTATATACTACCATAATGATTTCTTACTGTAAATGTTGACCTTAATCATTTGAGGCGATATTTGTTAGATTTCCCCACTGTAAAGTTACTTTCCCTCCTCTTTCCAATGTACCTTTGGAAGAAAGACAGCATGTGCATCCCACATTTAAGGGGCAGGGAGTTATACTCCACCTTCTTGGGTGGAGGGGGAGGGTAGTATTTACACAAATTACTTAGGAATTTTTAGTATGGGATTTTTGTTCTCACTCATTTATTCAATTATTTAAAGTAATGGACTCATCAAAATTTATTTTATACTTTGGGGTATACTTCAACACTTTTATTCTGTTGCTCAGCCTGTTTCAGCTCTGACCACTGGGAAATCTTTCATGGCTCCTGCATTCATTTCACATATTCTCATCTATGTGTGTCTTACTGTTTACCTTCTGGCAGCACAATATTCTGCAGGCTCATCTTGTATATCCCCTTCCTCAATTTTAGAACCAACCAATATTCCAAGGAGCTCTGGTTCCTTTTACCGGAGAATGACATTAGAGATGAAGATCTGGGCTAGGTTTTGCTCCTTGATACTGTGTCCTTCTTCTAGGCTCTTAAGCAGACAAAGAAATACATGTTCCACAGACATACACATAACTATAAATATCTCTGTATGTAATGACTTATTATCTATGTTAAATATCTCTGTATGTAATGATATATTATCTATGTTAAGCTAAATATAAATTCATATTGGTATGTCCACCTCTAATCCATTACCATATGTACGCATCTTCTGCATTACTAATCAATATGGTCCCGCCTCAACAGTGAGAAACCTGGTGCCCACTGGTATACAAATGTAATAGTATTAGAGCTGTTAAATCATACCCCAACAGAAACAATTTTATTAACTAGATTACATTGCTTATATATACAATATAGTTTCTTTGATTTTAGTCTTACAGATTCATTTCAAAAGTTACTTAAGTCAGCAACTTCCTGCCCAACTTCCCTCAGTGACATTGTTTCAAATACTTCAAACAGCATTAGAATGCTTTATCATATTCTACATTCCATCCTGGTATTCACTTAAACTCCTAAGTGACTTTTTAAAATCTGTATTCATAAAATTCACTTTTTCTGTAAAGTTCAATGAGTTTTAACAAATGCATAGTGCCATGTATGTACAATATGGTATCGCAGGGAAGCGTTTCACCACCTTAAAAAATCCCTGTGCTTCTCCCATTCAATCCTCCCACTTCTCTTTGGCAAACAATGAATTCTTTTACCTAACTATAGGTTTGGCTTTTATAGAAAGTCATATAATTAAATCATATATTATGTAGCCTCTTCAGACTGGTATCTTTCCCTTTAACAATATGTATTTAAGATTTATGAATGTTTTTTAGTGGCTAAATAGCTAAATTTTTAATTCCTAAATAATATTCCATTGTCTGAATGTACACATTCTGTCACCCATTTACTCAATGATGGACATCCTGGTCACCATTTCTTGACAATTAGGAATAAAGCTGCTATATGTATTCACGTGCAGGATTTTGTGCAGACATAATTTTCAAATGAGTTATGTAAGCATCTAGAAGCATGATTATTGAATCATATGATAAAACCACGTTTAGCTTTGTAAAAAACTGCCAAACTGTTTTCCAAAGTAGCTGTAACATTTTGCATTGCCACCAGCAATGAATGAGAGTTCTTGATGCTTTGTAACCTTGACAGCTTTGTACCTTTGTCAGGTTTTTGGATTTCAGCCATTATAATAGGTATAAAGTTGTCTCATTGTTGTCTTAATTTGCAACTCCAGAATGACAAATGATTAAGGACTTTTTAATAATTAATCATTCTTGACATTAAATTTTTCTGTTCCAATTACTGGAACAGATACTGTCTTCTAACTACACTCTGATTCTGTATACTTGTACTCTCTAACATGGTAACCACTACTCTCATGTAGCAAATTGAGCACTTGAAATATAACTAGTCAAAAACGAAATGTGCAGTAAGTAAAAAATATCCTCAAGATTGTAAAGATTTATGAAAAATCACATATGAAATCTCATTTATAATGCTATATTGATTACATGATGAAATAACATATTATACTGATTAAATTAATTGCATTACCCATTTTTTTGTAACTCACTAGAAAATATTAAGTTGCAGATGCAGCTCATATTCTATTTCTGCTGAATAATTCCACACTATTCTAATACTATAAACACATTAATTCTTGTAATACAAACCTAATCCCATCACTTCCCTGTTTATTTCTCTGCTCTTTAGTCACCCTCATAACCAGCAATCAATAAAAAATCCAAACTCCTCAGCATGGCAAATAAAGTTATCATTTACTACCTGTTCAGTCATCTACCATATCAGCTCCCTCTTTACAGGATGATAAATTTTAAGTTGCCTAAATCCAGCATTATTTCACACATTCATTCTTTTTAGCTGGACTCTAGATTTTGGCTCCTCCTAATAAGTCTTCTTTCTGTGCTCACTCTTTAGAGTGATAGGATTTTCCCAGTATTGTGTATGCACACAAGTGTGTGTGTGCATGTATGTGTAGGCACATGTGTGTGTGTGTGTGATGAGAGCAAGAGGGAAATGTTATTTTTCCTCATTAAATAATACATTCACATGGCCCAAAATTTAAAAGGTGATTAAACTTTTACAATGAAAACATGCCCACTCCTGCCCTCAAGCCACCATCTACTTTCCTAAGAGGCAAACAATACTATTCATTTCTTAGACATCATCTGATCAAACTGCATGTGAAACTAAAGAATAAATAAATGGAAACCCATTCTATGTTCGGTACTTGAAGAGTTAATATTAAGATGTCAATACTCCCTAAAGCAACCAACATACAGATTTAATGCAATCTCTACCAAAATCCTAATGACCTTTTTTGCAGAAACAGAAAAACCCATTCTATAATTCAAAGAGAATCTCAAAAGATCTCAAATGACCAATTCTGAAAAAGAAACCAACACTGGAAGATACATACTTCCTGATTTCAAAATTTACTACAAAGCTACACTATCAAAACAGTGTGGTGCTGGCATAAAAGCAAACATACAAACCAGTGGAATAGAATAGCCTATATATGTGAAACAAACCCTCACATATATGTTTTAATAATTTTCGACAAGGGTGCCAAAACCATCCAGTGGGTAAAGTGCAGAAGGCAACCCACAGAATGGGAGAAAATATTTGCAAATCATATATCTGATAATGGATTAATATCCAGAATATATAAAGAACTACTAAAACTCAACAAGACAAGGAACCTGATTTGAAAATTGGCAAAGAATTTGAATAGACATTTCTCCAAA